GAAGTCCGACTGCGGCGCGCCTCTCTCTTCTGTTCATCGCACCCCTATATCTTTGTTTGCGCTCGGATGGTCTCCATTCTCCGCCAGCTATCCTCCAGATTCCTCCTCGAACAATGGGGCCCCAGTCGCGTGCGAAGTCGCAAACGTTTCGCGAGAAGCCACCACTGATTCCGCACTCCTCTGCCCCCACACGTCCGCCATGTCGCCCCGGAGCCAAGCTATCGATGGGCTCGGCTTGCGCGCACACGCTGTGCTGCCCGTGCCGTCCGCGAAACGTCGAACAGGTGGCTCGTGCTGGGGTGCTCAGGTCTGGTCTGCGAGTTCCGTGACGGAAGCGGGCATGATGGAAGGAGGAGGAGGAAGAGGAGGAGGAGGACCAGTGCAAAACCAAGATTCTTCAACGATATTGCGATCAGCACTCCCTCCAAATTCCTTCTACACAGGCCCCATGCAAGGAGTCATTTTCACTGAAGAAAATGCCCCGTTGGAAGACAACTGATTGAAAATCCGGCATTGTGCCAGAGCGCCGTTCTTAGGACTTCAACGCCGCGAATCACCGTTATTGTTGCGTGTTGACGGCCTTGAATCGTGCCAGAACGCCGTTCCTTGGACTCCAAGACCCCGAATCAACGTGATTGTTGCGCCCTGACATTCCGACATCGTGCCAAAAGGCCATTTCTGGGACGTGTATTATGATAACCTTTGAAACGGATGCAAACTCGTAAGGTGAATGTGCGCAGCGCTACGGCGAGAGCCACATGTTGAAAAGGAAGTTCCAGCCATCCGCGAAACTGTTGCACTCTTTTGAGGCGAATGCGCGCGGCGCGAAGGTGATAGCCACAGTTTGAACGCGGGCCGCCCTCCATCCATGAAGCTCTTGCACGTTTGTAAGACGAGTGTGCGCGGCGCTCAGGCCAGAGCCACATTTTGAACAGGACGGAGGGAAGGAGTGAGGGATGAACAGGAGGAGGAGGAGGAGGAGGAGGAGGAGGAGGAGGAGGAGGTGGAGGAGGACCAGTGTAAACCCAAGAGTCATCAACGATGTTAGAATAAACCCTCACTCCACGCTCCCTCTTCGTAGGCCCCTACAACGGTTCATTTCCATTGAGGGAACTGCGCCGTTGGAAGACAGCCGTTTGAAGATCCTGACGCGTGCCAAGACATTCTTCTCGGGATTTCAACGCCTCGTATCAGTCTGACTTCTGCGTCTTGACGATCCGGAATCGTGCCAGAACGCCATTAAACGGCGTTTTGGCACGATTCCGCGAATCAACATAAACACTGCGCCCGCATAATCCGCAATCCTTCCAAAACACAATTTCTGGTACGTTGGTCATGTGAACCAGTGGAATTTCTTGCAATTGCTCAAAAAGATTGTGCGCGGCGCTCAGGCGAGCGCCACATTTTGAAGGGGAGCCGCCCTGAATTTGTGAAGCCCTTGTAAGGTTTTAAAACGAATGTGCGCGGCGGCAAGGCGAGAACCACATGTTTAAAACGACCCGCCCTCAATCCGTGAAGCTCTTGCGAATGTTTAAAACGAATATGCGAGGCGCTGAGGCGAGAGCCACATTGTGAAAACGACCCGCCCTCAATCCGTGAAGCTCTTGCAAATGTTTAGAGAATTGCGCGCGGCGCTAAGGCGAGAGCCACAGTTTGAAATGGACCCGCCTTCAATCCGCGAAATTATTGAAATGATGCGCGCGGCGCTAAGGCGAGAGCCACATTTTGAAAACGACCCGCCCTCAATGCGTGGAAACCTTGCACATGTTTAGAACGAATGTGCGCGGCGCGAAGGCGAGAGCCACAGTTTGAAAGCGACCCTCCCTCCATATGCGAAACTGTTGCCACTGTCTAAGCTTCAGGGTCATAAATGGTGAGGAGATCTCAGGCGAAACTTCCGGCCTGCCTGAAAAACTGGCCTCGGGGTGCGACAGGGAGAAGTTATCCAGAAGGAGAAGGAATGGAGGAGGAGGAGGAGGAGGAGGAGGAGGAGGAGGAGGCGGAGGGGGAGTGAGAGGAGGAGGAGGAGGAGGAGGAGGAGGAGGAGGAGGAGGAGGAGGAAGAGGAGGAGGAGGAGGAGGAGAGCACGGCGCCCGATTAGTGGGAAATCCACTTGCGCGCTGAGCGCACAACTGCAGCCACCATGATCGGACTGGAGAGACTCCCTCCAGCTGATCTCGAGGAAGACGTAGCTTGGGGGACGGAGGTGCACGCTTTGGGGACAGGTCACCTCAATTCCCCGACGTCGACACGACCAACACGACTAACCGAGAGCACCAACCAAAGAAACGATGTTGGATCCCGGAGCATCCCCGAGACCAGTACTTCAACGCCACAACTTAAGACAGTACGCTTCATCAGCACAAGCCCACCGAGGCGGGAGCCAGCGAGGCCAGCGGTGCACAGCCCACCACGACCCGACCGACCTCTTGCACATAGCAAACACAAGGCGACTAGCCACTTTGGCACAGGAGCTCCGCATGTTTGGAATTTACCAGCAAGAAGGCTACGACATGATCTTCATTGGAGCGAATTCGACAACATTGAGGAGACGTTCCTCAATGACCTGCACGATGACGGGGAGGGAAGCCACGACACTAAGATCGGGGTACGACTCGACAAAGCAAACATACGACACATGCGACACAAACAACGACCAGCCCGACATAGCCAACGAATACGTCAGACACAGCTACAACGACCACCACACATACAATTGCACAACCGATTCGCTGGTCTAGCAGACGCGACGGCCGATACGGACGAGGGCAACGACGACACACAACGTACCCACGACCAACCCAAACGCGTGCACGTCGACGCTGTCCTGGCGAGGCAAGGATCAAACTTCGAGACGGGTTCGAAGGGCGGTGGGGCAGGACGAGCACTGCCCGCGCGTGCCAGGGGGGACGGTAATGGGCAGGGGGGGGGGGTAGGACGGCCACAACCCGCGCCCCCGCGGTCCGCCCTAGCTCGCCCCCCCCCCCGCCCCAGACCATCTCCACGGCGGAGCTGGAGCTCGCCAGAACGCCCGAGAGGCGGAGCAAAGGACAGACGAGACATCCCCCACCGAAAGCAGAAGCAAGCACATGGCCTGGGGTTCGCCCCCACCGAGGGCACTGTGACCCCTAGCCATGGCGGGGCAAGGCGGGACGGCCATGAACCCATTTTGAAGTCGGTGCATGGAGGCCTTACAAGCGCAGCCACAACCAATAGAACATGACCAGCAACAACCCGACCACACATCGACCAAACGAGAAGCACGCCGACCAAGCAAGCACAAGGCCTGGGGTTCGCCCCCACCAAGGGCACTGTGACCCCTAGCCATAGCGGGACGGGGTGGGGCAGCCAAGAACCCCACATGAAGTCGGCGCATGGAGGCCTTACAAGTGCGCCCAACACCTACACACCACGACCAGCAACAACTCGACCATCCACCGCAATGCTACCATTCCGACAGCCACGACCGCGTCTACGACCAGCAACAACACGACCACCACAACCACGACAAGCAACAACCCGACCCGCAATGTTACCATTCCGCCAGCCCCGAGGACCGCGTCGACTCCCACGACGACCAGACACCCACGACACAACCAGCAGACAACAGCAAGTACACCAAGCAGATGACAGCACCCACGGAACATCAACCAGACAGAGGATTGCCATGCAACCATTCAGGCACCAACAAGATCGACCACGACAGCAAGCCGACGACAGGCAGCACACTGGCACGCACGCCTGCCCGGCCCCCTTCGAGGACAGGACTTGCAAGTGCGACCCGGGCGACACGCGCTGCGCCGGGAAGAGGATGCAGGCCACCGCCCCACCTTTCTTCAACTACTTGCTAGATGGGGAAGACCTACATCCAGCTGCGCGATGCGCCATCGGTAGCGCGCCCAACGGCAACGGACATCACGACGTCAAGCACGCGTTCACCGACGCGTCGTTCAACGCAAGGACCCCGAGTAGCTGCGCATGGACCTGCGCTGTGCTTCAACAAGAAGCTGATCTTCAATGCCGATTCAGAGGTGTCTCCAGCGGCGTCGTCGCGAATAGCCACGCCATGGATATCAAGAGCAACGAGGTCACGAATATGACGAGCGAGATACTGGCGGTCATCCAGGCACTCATGTGGCTCATCAGCACTGACGAAAAGCAGCCGACCTACATCTTCACCGATTGCAAGGGGGGCATAGACCCATGCGACCGTAAGGCCACTACCTCGGCGGACGCAGCTCTCGCCAGGCTCCTGCTCATCGTGCGCGACACCTCTGAGCAGGTGAGGCCAGTCGTCGTGCAGCGCGTGCCCAGCCACGAGGGGGCGCCATGGAACGAGCTAGCGGACGTCTATCCAAACGAGCCAGATGCCTGGAGGAGAAGAGCGAATGGGCGGATCAGCTGCCGTTCAACTGCAAGGACATCGTGCGTGACAACAAGTACTACCAGTGGGAGGCGATACTCGAAGACGACCACAAGGACCGACATGCACACCCACAACGAGAAGGAGATCGGCTAGCATTCGGAACGCCACCACGACGAGCTGAGCACCGACATCTAATGGCACCAGTCACCGGACAGACCTCCACGACAGAAACCCAGCTCAACGTCATGACCTTCATCGTGGAGAGCGCGCGGGAGGCAGATGCACCGCGGGCGCCGAAGCTCACTGAGCTAGCTAAGAACGCACGCGACTGGGGAGGGCCACTGTTGCGGAAGCAGTTCCAAGAGGCGCGAAACAAACATAAGGCAACGACCAGCAACGGGTACTTCATTGTCAGCAGCGATCACGACAACTACAATGCAGGCTGCGAAATATGGATCGACACGACTGTCCCCGATGCGTCATCAACAAGCGGACCGAAGTACTCTAAGCCCGAAGACATCCGCGCGCTCGTTTCATTACCATGCATCTTGGCCGCCAACATCATCACATCTAACGTCAGGTTGACAACGTGCGTGGCACATGCACCTCGCAGCAGGAGAAGCGAGACGGAAAGGCGAAAGTTCTGGGCGGCATTCAACGGGGCGTTGGGACCAAGCACAAACCGAATATCACCATGGCGGACGCCAACGGCAGGTTGGGCAGCATTTGTTCCTCGGCGGTGGGAGGCGAGGGACTTAGGCATGGCGAAGACGACAGCGGAGCCCGACTTCGTGATGCAGCGGTGACCAACGGCCACAGCATCATGAGTATTCTTGTCTCCAACGGCAGAAGCCACCATACTTGGAAGGACGCGAAAGGGAACCAGCATCGCATCGACTACACCCCCATGGACTCCGAGCGCAGCCAGGCGGCCGCCGACGCCCGCGCGACACTCGACATCGAAACAATGACAAAGAAAAAGAACAAGGCGACAACCTCCGCGACGCCCAGAGAAGACCACGCACACACCAGTGCAAGCTTCGCTCCGTTGGAAGACGTCACGCAGCACAACAAGAGGCATCATGCCCAAGATGGGCCGCGAAACTATTCAGGGCGAAGCAGTGGTCCGGACATTCTGACAACACCTGGAGGCGACAATGGCACCACACTGGAACATGGGCTACGGCGAGCACATCTACTGCTACACCATGGCGGTCCTAGAGGCGGCGCAAGCAGCGCTTCCGAAGGCCAACGCCAAGCGCAACCAGGAGTACATCAGCGACGAGACACTGCACGTGATACTTGACCGACGACGGCCCGCCAAGATGATCAGGAAGATCAGCGCCAGCCCGAAGTGCCACCCAGCAGTGACAAAGTTAATCAGAAGGGAAGCTGCGGCCACCATCGAGAATCTGAGCAGGGGCATCCCGAAGGAGCACATCTCCAGCGCGTGCACTATCGCAACCCAGTTGCTCGCGACGGCAGACGAGGTCATCAGCGCGGACAACGTTGACAACTTCATTCCCACAACATGGAAGTGGCTCGAGGACACCAAGAAGCTCACCAACTTCATGGCCAACCGCGACTACGACCAATTCCTGGAAAAAAGCAGGCAGCAGCAGCGACTTCCAGGACAACCAGGGACCACTACAACGAATGGAAGTACGCCAAGAAATTGCTCACCTTCGGCGGCAGAAGAAGACGCAAGGCCAGGGCTTGCCCGATGGTGCACACGAGCACAGGAGAGCCGATGGGGGACGTCTCCAGGAAGAGCGAGGAGGCCACAGAGCACTCCGGACTCAACGAGGCGGCCCAACTTAGAGATCGAGACGACGTCACCAACGCCTACAACGACGCCAAGGACCTGGCCAAAAAACACCGTGCACAGGCACATCGACAATCTTGCCAGCATATGCGAGCTCACGATGATTCTTCCGTCTGCACAACCACGACGTGCACCGGGGCCCGACTCGATCGCAGACGACCTTGCTAGGTTGTTGCCGCGGGAGATGGCTCGACACGCGCGCCCCGTCGTCGCCAAGGCGGCGCTATATTGTCGAGAAGGGCTTGCACACAAAGGTTCAAGGATGACTTACTCCTGGAAAGGCAAGGTCAACCAGGGGATGCTCGACACTCAACGGTCTATCACGCTTGCCAACGCGGTCATCAAGCACCGCTACAGGCACATCAGGCAGCGCATGACAGACCTCACCCCCGACATCCTGTTCAGCGCGCGGACGGGCGGGGGGCAGCACTACAGCGCGGACTTCAACCACGTGGCCTTGAGATTGCTATTCGGGGCAGCCAGCAGAAAGGGGCGCGCGACTTGGCGCTGATCATGGTTGACCTCAAGGCGGCCTTCCGCAAGGTAGTCAACGGCTTGATCTACAAGCTCGCGCAGAGCCAGGACGAGATCGACGACGTCATGGACAACGTAGACATCCCTGCAGAATTGCATCCAGCCATCGGGGAGCTCATGCGCAACGGCATCATCATCGGGCGACACGTAGGCAACGATCACATCACGACGAAGCTGGCAGAAGCCCGCAGAGGCACTTGGTTCTACATCAACGCGGAGGCGAGCTTTGCAAGGCCACGACTGGGATCAAGACCAGGAGTTCCAGCCGCCGATTTCACTTTCAACGTGATCATGTCAGAGGTCGCCACAGACTAACACCGCGCAGCCTGCCCCGATGAGGTCTACGTCGACATCCCGAGCAGCGAACGCATCATGCAGCAAGACGACGAGCCGAAGGCGATCACCTCGACCTCATCCGTCGACGACGTCAAGGCAGCTGCAACGACCGAAGACGGCGACAAGCTCGACAGCATCATCACCACGATGTTGTCGCATCTGACAAGATCCACCCTCTCAAGGGGACTGCCCATCAACGCGAAGAAGTCCAGCTTCATGGTCTATGCCAACTCCAAGAAGGGCACAAGACGAGCACGACAATACATCGCCAGCAGCGTCAGCTTCAACAGCCACGGGACGGAATTGACCAATATCCGTTACACCAAACTGCTTGGAGTCATGTTCAAAGGAACGACATGACCCAGGAAGTCACTAGCAGGATAACGTCCACCAGAGAAGCTACGGGACCGATGCGAAGGTCTCTTTTCCAACGGAAAGCGATCACCGACACCGCCAGGACCCACTACCTCGAAGACTTCGCTCTTTCCAAGATGTTCTACAACGGCGACACGTGGATATTGACGAAGGATGGCGACCACAACAAACTGGAATCAGCTTACTCGACGGCGGCAAGACAAGCACTCGGGATACCGCACCACGACGTCAAGACGAAAGCCATCACGAACGCGGACATCATCGACGCGGCGGGAATACCGACATTCCAGACGAGGCTACGCACACAGCGGCTACGGCAAATTGGACGGCTCGTTGACGGATGCCCCCGAGAACTGCAAGCGCTCATCGACAACGACATCCACAATGACGGCAAGTGGGCCCAGCAGATGACCTTGGACATCCAACACAACTTGCAATTCCTCGAACGACCACAAAGCGAAGAACATACAGGACGCTCGAAGTTGGATCAGGGCGGCACTCTGCGACCCGCGCGGCATGCAGTGCACGACCAGACTTGCATCCAAACGGGACTCAGCATGGCGCGCCGACGAGCACCAAAATACCAAGTGGAAAGCACCGATATCCGAGACATGCGACGGATCGATCCTACCAGCTCCACTTCGACCACGCCCAGACAACCAGAAGGACAGCAAGTTCATGTGCTACGCATGTGAAGCGATCCTCGCCAGCCGAGCCGCACGCGCCAAGCGCGTCCACCGCCGCCACAAGCCGGCTGCTGACATCAACAAAGTGGCCATCGACGAGAAGTCCACACTGCCAACAGACTCATCAAGCACGTGAAGGCCTCCCGAAGGTGCGGAGCATCCTGGGCCAATGCTTGCGCGAACCTCACCGGCAGCGAGACCAACGCCAACGGATGCTCAACAAACACAACGGCTTGCCCGAGGACTACGCCGAACTACCAGTACAGCAGCTACGAAGACCTTCGATCGGACCCATCAACTACGATGAGCTTGGGGCCAACGCTATAGCACCAGCTACGATACCCACCAACATGGAGGAGACGAGCAACGAGCACCCAGCGGTAGACGATTCGCACGCGCCCAACCACCAGCTTGACACCAGCGCACAGGACCTCCGACCAAGCATCATCATCATCGCGGTGTCCAACACGACCGACAGCATGAACGAGGTCACCAGCAGCATCCAGCAGGCAATAGACAAGGTCAGCAAAAGTATAAACGTTCTCGAGGTCAACTATAGCACCGCTTCTAAAGAGCAAGTCGAGCTGGCGCGGCGGCACATCAAACGCGGAGAAGCAGCCCTATGCATCATCGACTACCACAATGACCACGACCAACGCAGCCGCCGCGAGCCGCGACAGGAACCAACCTTGGGGATTCCGACATCTGCGACCTGTGGCATGCCAGCGAGCACCACAATTATATTATCAGGACAAACATCCTCTTGATGCACGACTGCGCAACAGCCAGCGTCACCTTCGTATGCACACGCATCCCAGCCAGCATGCATGACATGGCCGAGCACCGCTACATCGCCAGCAGAGAATTCGCCAAGCTGCGCGCCAACGAGGTTGTCATCCACGGCGGGAGCGACCACGGCGACCACGCCAACCTGCAACAACGCATCCAGCAGACAATACGACGACACGGCGACAACTTCGACATCGCCAGGCCCTGGCACTACCACGAACACACGGCGACGAACAGTTACGGCGATCTTGTCACGGGCGACACCGACAACAGCAACCCCATACTGCTCGAACCGAGCAGCAGACGACAGGTCACGGCCAACGCCGGCGGAGCTGGCCTTGACGCAGGCCCCAAGCACTCGACGAAGGGCGGCTCCGACAACGTCGGCCTCGGCCAGACCCTCGGCGACGGCTTCACCATCATGAAGGCCCCCCATCGGCGGTGAGCGCGCCTACCCCTCGGCAAAAGGGCTGAGGGTCGACGGCGGCCGCTGCGGGGGGAAGAGGAGACGGGCTCTCTCTGGCAATGGGGGCCCGCCGGGCGAGGCCGAGGCCATCGGGGGCCTTCGTCTCCCTCCTCTCATCCTAGCGCCCTGGAGGCTCCCTCCCCTCTCCCCCTGGCCTTGCCTCGGCGCTTCGTTTTCGTCTTCGTTGGCCTCGCCCTCCCCTTTCCGCTGCGCGCCCTGGAGGCGTCTTCCCCCCCCCCTCTGGCCTGGGCGGGGGGGGGCAGGTGGAGGAGGAGGAGGAGGCTCGGGACTCCTTCAGGAAGGCGCGAACGTGAAACCCTGAGATATTAGAATGCTCGGCCGCGGTGGGCTCGATTCGCCTGGATGTGGACGACCCGGCCCTAGCGCTTGCATCCATTAACTAGACATACCACTTCGTCCCCTGGTGAACGATTCGGGTACGGGATCGACTACAAAATTGATCTACTTCAAAACTGACTGCGATTCAAAACTATGGAAATGTTATCATGTTCTTGTAGATTCGACGAGGAAGTCAAGTTTGGGGTAAATCAATTCTGTAGTCGATCCCCTAGTCGAACGATGTTCCTGAATCGGTGTCCTGAGCTGAGTCCGCCAAGTCTTGATGGTAGCTTCAGGCTTCTTGCTGCGCGGGGCGTGCGCCGCCGGCACGCCCAGCGCGAAATCACCTGCGCGAGCCAGCTGCCAGAACGCAGCAGCGCTTAGGAAGAGTACGAGTTCATGGGACCACCTCGATGCTCGCGCTGACCCACAGAGGACACCCAAAGCGGCGATCGGCGCCAGCCTCGGCGTGAATGATGTGGCATGGCTTGACCGTGGAAGCTCCCGATCTCGGAAATCTATTTTCAACCGTGTCCACCAAGTATAGCATCTGCTTCTGGAAAACTGAATTTAGCTGTTTCATCCGTCCCAGGAGGTATAAGCTGACAAGACGGGCCCTCTTGGAGAACTCGAAGGCCCCGGGGCTGAGCGAAAGCACATTGACGGCAGCGACCCAAAGCGAGTCAGACGTGACTTGCCGCGGCGGGCCCTGCACGCTCGACGTGTCAGGTTTGTCTTTAGCTTAGAAACGGGGCAAGTGGTGCAGCGCGGAAGATTTCTCCCATACCGATTATTGAGAATTTGACATACCCGGAGGATGCTGTGCGCGCACCTGTGGCGGTTCGAATGGAAGCCAAGGCCATTGCATAGGTTGTGACTGCTCCAGACACGTACGCCATGTAGCATCTGGCTCGGGGAGGTCGCCCTTATCCAGGGAGGCGAATGTAGCAATAGTTTCAACAAGCTCATCCATGGATGCGCAGAATGTCCATGTACATGTGTCCAGAAGACCCTGAAGACGAAACGCGACGCGACCTTGGCCACGCTGTCCAATGAGGTCCTCAAGAGGCAACTGAAGGTCCATGGGCCCCTACCACGGGTAACTCGAAGCTCTTTAGTGTTGCCGCAGTGCACGTGCAGTTCGCATTCGTGTCCTAAACTGGCGAATGGGGACTGAAGGAACCAAGCCAAGGCCCATAGAGCCCCTCGGAGTTCGGCCGCTAAGGAGACCAGCTGCGGAGGCACCTCGTAGTCCAAGAGATCCCCTTCGAAACCCAAGAGCGCCATGTTGTGCTCCGTGTCCTCCAGGAAGACAGCGAAGGCCCAGGAGGGCCGACCTCTTTTGGATCCACCGGGCCCGTCCATGTAGAGATGCACAGCAACAACGCCTCGGAGATCCTGAGGCGTTGACAACTGAGGCAGCGCCTGGATAGTGGAGGACTGAAGGTACTGAGCCAGCGCTCAATAAAAAACTGTTAAGAAGACGGTTCCACTTGGCAAATTGAATACGAAAGACTTCGGTAGTAACTGGCATAGGGCTGAAAGCACAGCCGCGCATGGGAGGTGCCTCCAGACCATCTCCCCGATGAGGGTGGAGGCCCGGGCAGACAAAATCTTCAACGTTAGACATGAGTTCGGTTGGGTTCCCATGCGAACCTGGGACGTCGTCCTCTGCTATCATGCCTGACTGGGCCAGTGAAAAACTTGAGAGGCGCAAGCTTCGACGGTGTCGAAGTTCGAGCTGACCTGCTTCAAGTTCTGACGATACTTGAGGAGCAACGGTGGGCGATGGCGTAGCCTGGAATGGCGGCGCTGGTGTGCTCTCGGCAGTGCCGAACGTGACTACTTTGGGCGTCTCCTCCTTCTCCTTGGCCTTGTTGGCAAGCACCTCCGGCCGATGTTGTTGTTTGAGCTGCGGCGAGAGCAATCTCGGCAGCCCGTTCTGCTTCCTGCGCCACCTCGAAGCGCTTGATGGCACGAGTGAGGTAGGCCGTCTGGCTGGGTACTCGCTCCGTCGGCGGGTACGCGAAGAGGTGCATGAACTGGAACACCGCGCGCTCCGTCCTCATGGCATCCAGCAGCGGCGAGTCCGCGCAAATGGCCTCCTGGGCGATGATCTGCTGCTCCACTGCATGGATGGCTTCTTGATGTGCTGGCGATGGGCCTCCCGATCTGCTGCCAAGGCTGGCGGCTCGACTCAGAGCGGGTGATTCTTGGCTTCCTTGAGCGTGCCGACCCTCTTCTTGATGATGGAGTTGGTCTTGACGTCTTCTGTATGATTCGCCCAAGCGCCCAGGGCCCTGCTGCGGGTGGGGGGACGGGACGTAGACCGCGTACGAGGCTTGTTGCGCAATCCCTTCGGCGTGTCGGGAAAGCACTTGGTGCATGAGGAAGCCGAAGCTGGATGTAAAGACCAACGGCGCGAACAGTACCACTGACCACCTCTCTGTTGCCATGGCGTAGACGGAGGCGGTTGGGACATTGACTGCTGCCGCTGTTGCCGACTGTGGTGGCTCCTAGGTAATTAAGTGTTTCGCAGCTGCGAGACGGAGCGCTGTCCTGGTGTGGCTGCGGCGCTCACGAGCACGCCGATGCCATGGTGGTTCTGGAAACCGCCTGGCCGTGACGCCTGCGCAGTGCGCAACGGGCGACGGCACGGCCTGCCTGGGGCAAGGGGGCGACCCCTGGCTGGCACATATGGTTGCCTGTCCGGTCGTGAGGCTCGCGCTACGCTGGTAGATGGAGCACCCAGGGCCTCGGGCCGGGACGGCGGCTGAGGGAGGAGGAGGGAGGAGGGAGGGAGGAGGGAGGAGGGAGGAGGGAGGAAGGGAGGGCGGGAGGAGGGAGGAAGGGAGGGAGGGAGGAGGGAGGAGGGAGGGAGGGAGGGAAGGAGAGGGAGGCAGGGAGGAGGTGGAGGAGGTTGGAGGCGTGAGGAGGGAGGGAGGGGGGAGGAAGTGCAGCGCCGCGGGGCGAGAGGCAGCCCGCGATCGGAGGAGCGCGAGGCTTGCTGGCCGTCCCTTCCGTGGTGCGCGACGGGGCCTCCTCCCTCCCTCCCTCCCTCCATCCGTTCCTCCCCCCCCCCACCCTCCCTCCTCCCTTCCTCCATCACTCCTCCCTCCCTCCTCCCACATCCTCA